TATTAAATGCACCCACCCTTATTATATGTCATTTAATTCAGGGGAAACAGGGCTTTCATTTAATATCAAATATTTAGCTATGAAACATAATTTAATATGAAAAAAAATGGGAGAAAAAAAGATTTTTTTTGATTTTTTAGTTCTACATGACATTTTAACTGTCAATGTCATAATACGGTTTGCTTTTACTGCAATAAAATACACATATTTGTATTCAGCAAAGTCTCACGTGTAAAATGGTTTTATGGCATTTTGGGAAGTTACAGGGTCAAATATAGCACGTTACATTTGAAATTGAAATTCTCCAGATTGGTTATGTTGCCTTTGTATAGTAGTCCAGGAATTAAATTTACACCCATAATGGCATACCATTTGCAATAGTAGACAACCCAAGGTATTGCAAATGGGGTATGTCCAGTCTTTTTTAGTAGCCATTTGGTCACAAACACTGGCCAAAGTTAGCGTTAGTATTTTTTTGCGTGAAAAATGCAAAAAACGCCAAGTACTGTTGTACTCGGGAGACTTCGCTGAACACAAATATTTGTGTTTCAAAACAGCAAAAAGTATCACAGCAATAATATCGTCTGTGTAAGTGCTGTTTGTGCATGAAAAATGCAAAAAACTTCACTTTTACTGGCGATATCATCGTTGTAATACATTTTACTGTTTTGAAACACTAATATTTGTGTTCAGCGAAGTCTCCCGAGTAGAACAGTACCCCCCATGTACAGGTTTTATGGTGTTTTTAGGAAAGTTATATAGTGCTAGCAAATTAAATTCCCTTTACTTTTGGCATGGGTTGTCAGGCAGGTCCCGCTAATTGTAATTAATTAAGATACCTAATTATGTAAAAATATTACATAAATATATATGTAGAATTAATATATGTATATATATATATATATATATATATATATATATATGTGAATCTATATGTGTGTATATATATATATAATTTTTTAAAAATATTTTTATTTATATATAGGTATATATAGTGATATATATACGTATATATTTATGTATGTAGATATATATATTATTTCGTTCTACGTGTATTTTGATATATATATATATATATATATTAATATCACAATACAGTAAGAACGAAATAACACACATCTATATATTTTTTAATTATTTTTTTTAATTATTATTTTAATTTTATTTTTTAACGTATTTACATTTTTTTTTTTATATATTATATATAAATATATATATAACAATAATTATATATGTATTTAATCAGTATCAGTCTACGTGTAATTTGATATTAATATATATATATATAGAATTATATATATATTAATAGTAAAATACACCTAGACAGTGTATGTGTGTGTATGTATATGTGTATATATATATACTTAGATCATCTAAGTATATATATATTTTTTTTTTTTTACACTTTACTTTTTAATTAATTTATTTTAATTTTATTTTCAGACAGCAGGGGAACCACCTGTCATTACAGGCAGCCCCCGTGCTGGCAACGCAGGAGGCAGCTACCCACGGCCATGTGATTGTGGGGTCCTCGCAAGGAAAAACAAAAATAATTGTTATTTAAAATAATGTTAATACCCTCCACAATAAAGTCAATCTGATTTTCTGGAATTTTGTTTTCATTTGATAAAATAGTTTTAACAGCATTGTATCCAAGTTGATGAGGAATAATAGTATATTACATGTGACAAGTATAAAATCTATTTCCCAGTCGAATCCATTTAAGAACCTCAGTAATGACATAGAGTCCTTCAGATAAGACTTCATTAGTTTTACTGATGGTTGGAGTAGAGTATCAATGTACTGGGATAAATTGCATAGAGGGGAGTTGATCCCAGATACTATGGATCTCCCGGGGGAGTGTTTGGCGTGTTTATGTATTATTGGTAAAAAATAGATTACCGGAATTTGGGGATTTTTAATGAATAAATAGTCAAATTCTTTTTTTATTTAAAATATTTTCATTTAAGCCCTTTTGGAGGAAGGTAATTCATTTTTGTTGTATATAAGATGTTGGGTCTTTTGATAATTTTTCGTATACATCAATGTCATTTAATTGTTTATAAGCTTCTTTGATGTACATGTCGCTTGATTGAATAACAAGACCTCCACTCTTGTCAGCAGGTTTAATCACTATATCTTTATCCTCCTGGAGTTGTTTAATTATTATTATTCCTTTATACAATTTTATTTTATACATCTTTGATTACCTTTTCCTGGCATTTTACTTATCCTAAGGTGGGGATTATACCACCCACGCTATCATCCGAGTGCAGACAGGCCGGCACTCCACTTGTGAGTATATTTTATTTTACTTCAACCTATCTCTACATCGTGTCGTCAGAGAGCACTATTGGTTGTTCTTATCTCTCTTTCCCTGAAAATTGGATACCATCACTCTCCGGAGGACAAGCATCCACACATCCTACAAGCGGGGATTAATCCGCTGTATGCCTGTTACACCTGCAGTGATGGCGATATCCAATAAACACAACATGAAGGAGAAGAAGGAACATGAGACATTACACCAATACCGATGTCTGAAGAAGGTCTAGAAAGGATGTGGAAAAATAAAGTAGTTCCCGTGGAGCACTTGGAGCAATATCCCAAAGTGGGAGACTGGCTTCATCAGATACCAGGTGGAATATCTCAAATCTCTGTCCAGAAGAATGCTTTTCCAGGAACAGCTAAAATACTGCGTAAAATGCAAGCCTCAGGTAGAAAACCCAAGAATCAGAAATACACAAACACACAGAATACCACCCTGAGGGTTGAGAGAGTCAGTTTTAGATATATACATATAGTATATAGCCACTATAGAATTAACGCCATCTAGTGGACGTTAAATGGGAAATTCAATTATATAATTTAATATTCTGTTGACAAAAGAATTGCCACCACTTCTTTGAAAAAAAATAGTTTTATTAGTTTTTATTGAATATTCAGGCAATAGCACATAACAGTGGATATATTACAGAAATATAAAGTTACAGAAATATAAAGTTTTACATCTGTTTTTATTATTATTATTATTTTTTTTACTTTTTCTTTTCCTACCTCTACAGATAATCAAATATAAAAATTCAAGCTGTCATTTGGTTAATATGGTTTGACCTAGTAATGACATTCAATACTATCAATTAAACCCTAGAGAGAAGGATATTCTTATATACCACATGTTGATACTGAAGTAGCACTGTGAATTAGTAATAAGGTAAGGCAGCCTGTTATCAATCTTGCAAAGACCATGGATAAAAATTGTCAGAGAAAACATGTGAGCAGTGTAAATAAAGGGCAATCAGCAACCACAACAGCCCCACCAAACCGCATCATCAGTGCTTTTGTGCATAATGCCATCCTCATCAGAACTGAAGAACCAAATCACCTTCTATAGAGACAAAAAAAGAAAAAAGGAAAATACTAATTCACCAACACAAATGCCCAAAAGGGTATTGTGCCAGGAAAAAGACGTAGAACCCTATAAAAATGTACTTAATGACTAAAAAAAGGTATTTACAACATGATTTATTAATAAAGCTAAAACACTTAGTCTCCTACCTAATAGGTACTCAAGTGGGGTGGGTATAAATGCCTATATCAAAGCTAAAGGTAACTATCAGGGATAATCCAAAGGGAAACTACGGTAGAGGTATAATGCCTAGTCTGAGTAGGTAAAGAGGGTGTCAAAAAGGACGCATAGTAGGTATCTGGCGAGTATAAAAATACTCCATCTATACACTACACAACCCTAGGTAATCTAAAAGACCCCTCTATCCATTGATACATACTGTCCACTAAGTGCTACCTAACGGAATCCCTGTTACCTCAGCATAGCCTAAAGCTAATGCCTACCACCACTACTAGTCCTATAGAGGGACTAAACAAACGATCAAGTGCTATAACCACCCACAACCCAAGTGCATGGTGAGAAGATTAAAAATAAAAAAAAGAGAAAAGAAAAAGCCTGACGCGCGTTTTGGCGTATCGAGACGCCGTCATCAGGGGCAAATTCAAAGGCTACCCGCATCTCCCGCTTCCTTATATGTCCAGTGTGTGATTAGAGAGTGTTAACAGCTGATTCCCATAATAGGTACTCGCATACCGTTGGTCCGGATGAGACTCCGCCCACCTGCCATACGGTAGCGACCAATGCAGCCCGAACCACTTCCGCATAGCCCACATGACTGCTACATCATCGCTAGGTCACGTGGGCAGGGAGGGGAAAAGGGCGGAAATCACCCGCTGTTGCTAAACCTGCCCTCACTGACGGCCCTAGTGAGTCACAATGACGTCACTGAATGGGCGGCATTACAACAATCCATAAATACAGTGCAAAGGAGGTATAGCATCACTGGAATTATCTATGGAGATGCCCCTGTAGCTTAATAATCCCCAAATAGTAAGCAATAAACGATAAAGTAATAATAGCTTCAAAATAATAATTAAATAATAATAATTAATCATAATTAACATTTAAAGAAACCCACATAGTTACTAAATAGTGATCATTAGTTAAATAAAAGGGGTAAACGAAAACCCCTCATTAAGACCGTGTGGTGATAAAGTCTGAAGTTTAAAGATCCAATAAGCCTCCCTCTGGCGGAGTTTAGTGTCCCAACCGTCTTTCCGTGGGGGTTGAGGAATGTGTTCTAACCCCATAAAGCGTATTCCCGCTGAAGAGTGATTATGACAAAGATGTAAATGTCTCGATATGGGGGTTTCCAGACGTCTCCTCACTGAATTTACATGTTCTACACTTAAAGGGATGAAAGGTCTTCCCTACATACATAAGGCCACATGAACAGGTAAGCAGATAGATAACCCCAGCAGTGCGGCAATTGATGAAAGAACGGGGGGTAAATGTCTCTGAGTTGGAACTATTGACGCAAACTTTAGAGTTCTTATTAATGTAGGGACAGGCGCTACAATGGCCACATTGATATGTGCCAATAGGTAAGTAGTTCTTAAAAGGTCCTGATGTTGACAACGAAGAAAGATGACTAGGAACGAGTAGATCTCTTAAGTTCCTACCTCTACGTGCTGTGATAGAGGGATATGTTGTCACTACATCCTTAAGATGTTTATCCGAGGATATGATAGACCAATATTTCTTAAAAATTCCCATCATCTTCGCCCAACCCGCATCAAAGGTTCCTATGCATCTTATCGTGTACCCCTCCTGTTTGGCAGTATTGTCATCAATAAGCATTTGCCGTTCAGTTGAGAGGGCCCTCACGTATGCTCTCTTCAGCACCCTATTGGGATACCCTTTTTCCCTAAATGACAGTCTCAAAGTTCTTGCTTTGGACTTAAAGTCTTCTAGGGACCAACAGTTTCGTCGTAACCTGAGGTACTGACCAATGGGGATTCCAGCTTTAATGTAGTTGTTCTGGTGTGTATAGCCTGTCCTTGCAGGCATTTTAATGTAATCACTGCCTTTTCAGGAACCACAGCCTAGGAACACCCATTCCTCAGACGGCCACTAGAGGTATTTCCCAGATACTGTGCAGTACTGACATTGAGCCTCTCCGTGCTCTTCATTTATCAATGGCCTGTCTTCTTGGCTGGGGGATCAGAATGCCGAACTCAATCCACTGCTTTCCTACAGAATCAGATGCAAAGAGCTGAGCACTGCGCTGAAAAAAGGTGAGTAAATCACCTTTCTCACTGGAGGTAAGTGGGGCCGACCACCTAAACGATGGTTTTAGAACTATAGTGTCCAGAATACACGTTTGTGTTTGTTACACTGTATTGCCCCTTTAAGTAAACTTCTCTGCTTCTCTAGTAATACAATGGCATTAATACGACAATTGTTGATAAAAGTAAGTCCATGAATATATGTCCATACAATAATATAGTTACATAGTTACATAGGCTGAAAAGAGACATGTGTTGATCAAGTTCAGCCTTCCTCACATTTGTTTTTTGCTGTTTATCCAAAAGAAGGCAAACAAACCCAGTTTGAAGCACTTCCAATTTTGATCCCAGAATGGCAGTCCGATTTATCCTTGGTTCAAGGAGCTATTACCTTACAGTTGAAAAATTATATAATCGAATATTACATTTTTGTACGTATGCATCTAGTTGCTGTATAAACATCTGCACGGACTCTGATAAAACCACTTCTTCAGGCAGAGAATTCCCCATCCTTATTGTTCTTACGGTAAAAAATCTTTAATTTTCCTTCGACTGAATCTTCTTTCTAAATGCATGACCTTGTGCCCTATGTAAAGACCGGTTTGTGAATAGATTTCCACACAATGGTTTGTATTGGCCCTAAATATATTTGTGTAATGTTATCATATCCTCTCTGAGGCAAGGTTTTTCTGAACTAAGAAGGTTTAAATTTGATAACCTTGTTTGATAGCTAAAATGTTCTATTCCTTTTATTAATTTTGTAGCCTGCCTCTGCACTTTTTCTAGTACCATAATTTCCTTCTTTAGAACAGGTGCCCAAAATTGCACAGCATATTTAAGACATTACTGGGGATTTATAAAGAGGCAAAATGATATTCTCATCCCAAGAATAAATGCCCTTTTCATGCATGACAATACCATACTGGCCTTAGCCACTGCTGATTGACATTGCACATTGTTGCATAGTTTATTGTATACAAAATGAAAATGGTGCACACAAGCTCAGCAAGGTGAAAAACAGGCTCTGACACTTAAGTGAAGGAATCCCTTAACCTCCACAACACAGATCATGCAGATAAAACAAAATATAAGTGGAGCTCTGGATTACCTGTGTGAACAGTAATATAAAGATATGGAAGACAAATATTGTCAAAAAATCTGTAAATAAATGGTAACAGATCTAAGTGTAGACAATAATTACAAATGAATAGGATAAGAAAAAACTATGAGATGGGTAACTCACAAAGGTGGAGCCAAAAGAACACTTTGGCTCTAGTGGTAAGCGCCTTAGGATCTTCTAGGGGAGATCCACCACCCTCTTTATATTCCTCCTGATGTCTTCCTCCTTACATATGAGTAGGAATGGAATTGCAGACTCCACAGGACGGTGTAAACAAATTTTAATGAGTAAAAGCTTGAACTTTAAAATATATTATAAAATAAAATAGAAATGAATCAAAATACTCAGAATAATTCCAAAGTATTCCAAAGTGCTCCCAAAAAGCGTTTCGCCAGTTAAACTGGCTTCCTCAGTTGGTATGTCTGTAATATATCCTCTTGTTCTTTTATACAAAACCAAATGATGAAATTGCCGGCATCTGTCGGACCGGAAGTTGGTTCCGTGGAACGCACGCCGCACTAGTTGGAACGCACGTACGTGCGTGCATGCGTGCGTCAATTACGTGCGTCAATTACGTGCGTGCGCGCGTGCGTCCGTCATAAAGTTATACTGTTCCACTTCCTTTTTCTTTATTGGAACGCACATGCGTTCCACAGCCTTAATCAGTGCGATCAGGTCAATTTACTTCCGCATTCTGCCGTGGAACGCACCATATGTATTTCATAGTCTTTATAAATTGTGACAAAAGTCTTTAGATCACCAGTCCAAAAAAATCAATAGGGAATGGGAGAGAGAAGCTAATAGATAATAATGTAACATAAAGAGGCAACATCTTTTATATTGATATTGGACAACATTATTACCTCTATCATTTGCAAGATTATAATGGTGTACCCCTAAAAAATATTAATTAAAAATGCTTGCATAAAAAAGGTGGAGGGGTGAGAAGAAACAGTATTAAATGTCATTAACTGTAAAATATTAAATTATTTCTTTATACTATAAAAAATGACATAATTCGAAATCCAAATTTAGTCCATGAGGAACCATGGTATTAAAATTAAAAATAAAGGACATTTCTTCCGTTCCAATTTTCTTTATAAAATCTCCACCCCTCCAATTTTTCTTGACCAATTTAAGTGCACAAAACAAAAGACCTTGTGGATTTTGATGGTGGTATTGTTTAAAATGTTGGGAAACACTATGTGTATCGACTCCTTTTTTGATGTTTCTCACATGCTCCGAAATTCTAACATGGAGGCATCTAATAGTCCTCCCTATATACATTTTATTGCACGGACAAATTAATAAATAAATAATATTTTTCGAGAAACATGTCAATTGGTCTCTTATTGTGAATTCCTTATTAGTAATTTCTATTATATTCTTTATGTGTCTTTTTTTGCTTATGGTCTCCCTACATGCTAGGCATGTTCCACACCCATAGAATCCTTTATTCTTTGTTAGGAAGTTCTCATTTTCAGCCTGATGATTATTTAAATTGCTGTTTACTAAGAAATTTTTTATATTTTTACATCCTCTATGGACAATTTTAGGTCTCTCCGGTAATATTTCTTTTAAAATTGGGTCATCTTGTAATTAGTGCCAGTATTTATTGATAGCATGCCTTACTTTCTTATTATTGGCTGAAAAATTGCAAATGAAGGGGATATTGTCTTTATTATTCTCTATTCTCGTTTTTTTCTTTTTATATATTAATAATTCCTTCCGTTCTAATATTTTTATTTCTTCTATACTCTTTTGGAGGTCTTCTTCTTCATATCCTTTTTCTAAGAATTGATTTTTAATAATTTGAGTTTGTTGTAAGAAGTCTTTTTTGTACAATTTCTTTTTAGCCTCATAAACTGGCCCTTAGGTGCATTCGTGAGCCACGGGGTATGGTGACAACTGGTAAGATTGATATATCCATTGCAATCTACCTCTTTAAAAAAAAATGTTGTGCAAATATTTCCTCCTTCTATAAAAACAGTAAGATCTAAAAAATTAATCCCCACTTTGCTTTGAGTGGAGGTGAGATTGATTCCCCAATCGTTGCAATTTAAAAAACTTAAAAAATTGGTCAATTTCAGATCATCTCCCTTCCAAATAAAAAATATGTCATCAATGTAACGGCGATAGGTGACCAAGTCCGCAAAGAATTCACTATGTAAGATAAATATCTCTTCCCAATACGCCATAAAAAGATTTGCGTAGCTGGGTGCGAACTTGGTCCCCATCGCCGTTCCATTAACTTGAAGATAAAAACTCTCTTTGAACCAAAAAAAATTATTGGTCAAAATTAGAAATATGCCTTCCTTAATAAAATCTATTTGATCTTGTTTAAAATTGGATTTCTCTAAGAAGTATTGCACAGCCTCTATTCCCTTTGTATGTGGGATTATGCTATAGAGTGATCTTACATCACACGTGACCAATGTGTAATTTTCTTCCCATTTAATCTCTCCTAGAATCTGTAAGATGTGTATTGTGTCTTTTAGGTACGTCGGATTTTTTATTACTACCGGTTGAAGTAGAACATCTATATATTCTGAGATTCTTGATGAGATGCTTTCTACCCCAGAGATTATAGGTCTTCCTGGTGGGTTGGTTAAATGTTTGTGCATCTTCGGCAAACAATAAAACACAGGAATCTGAGGACTGGAGATAATCAGATATTTGGCTTCTGCCTCTGTTAAAATATCTTTTTCTAATCCTTTATTGATAAAATCTTTAAACTTCATGACGATTTCCTGACTCGGATTGGATATTAGTTTTTTATATGTTTTAGTGTCTGACAATAATCTTTCTGCTTCCCCTACATATTTTTCTTTGGATAGAATGACTACCCCTCCCCCCTTATCAGCAGGTTTTATAATTAAATTGTCATCTTTTTGTAACCTCTTTAGTGTTTTTGTCTCTGCTAATGTAAGATTTTTTTGATATTTGTTTGTATGTTTAATTTTTTTAACCTCTTTCATAATCATGGTTTCAAAGGTTTTAATTTCATTCGAGATCATGTTTCTTGGGAAAAATTTCGATTTTTCTTTTAAATTGCTATGAATATATGGGGAGGTGGTGTTAATTTCTACTGGGTCTCTATTATGAAAAAAAATTTTTAAACATAATTGTCGAGTAAAGCGATTAAGGTCTATAAAAAATTCAAACGGTTTAAAGTCTGCAGACGGAGCAAACTTTAACCCTTTTTGCAAAATCTTTAATTCATCCTGATCCAATTCTTTATCCGAAAGATTGAATATTCCCTTGTTGTCTATATCCGTCCTCGTTTCTCTCTGTTGTAGTTTCTTTCGTCTTCTAACTCTCCTTCTTCCCATGATCTTCTCCTTTTGCCCGGAGAGTCCCATTTCCGTGACTCTTGAAGTTGTTTGCATCTGGATTTGGTTGGACTTTTGTGAAAAGGAGAAGAAATGGGAGAGGTATTCCTATGTTCC